GAGAGAGAGAGAGGACATAAATCAACCCTGCCCCGACAAATTCGCGCGCGCTCCTTTCTTCGCGCGTACGCGCCATATAGACGCGTGCGCGTACGCGATAACTTACTTGTTAATGTTGTTATAATACTGAAAATACTGTTGTTGTTGTTTAGTTATAGAGCTCGCCGCCGCTAGTCACTTCCCCCTCGCCTTCCACCCTCCGGTCCTCTTCCCTTCACGCCCCCGTTACCCACTCTCCCATCCTTCCCCAACCCCACCCCTAATTCCACGCTAATCACGATCTTCTCTCTGAGACCTCGTCCGACGATCACATCAGGAAGCGCGTTTCCACTCGTCACGATGACATGGTCCACACTTAAAACTAACACATACACACACACATTCGGGTCATTTATATCCGCCCGAATCAACGCGCGTTTACGTTAATATTTTCGTTACTCTCTTCGACGCTGGTCGATCGCGACCGTCGCGCTCGGATCACTTCCGGTCATCGCGCTTCGAAATGTCCCTTCCCCTTCAAACGCGCCGTGTGAGGTTCGCGAGGAACGTCCGTTTGTCGCGCGAACATCCGTTTCGTCGTGTATATCACGAGAGACCTCGTGCTCTTCGAGATCTAAACGCTAATTTTGCGCAGACCGCTTTCAACAGGTTTGATCTTGTCCCGTAGGACACGAGACTGATTGTCGCGCGAGTTGCATGGTCTTTATTACCCCCCCCCCCCCCCCGTTTAAGTTGCGAACTGATTCCGTATATTGTCAACGTGGTCTCACTCGTGGTCTTCGCCGTACGATTTTGTTCCCCAAATTGTTTGTACGCTACCTCTATGGACAATTGTTTGATCTTACCGCGTAAGACATCAGATTGATCCATATGTTATTATAAATAAGTTACGCAAATATATGAGAAATTGTTGAAGAAAATTTTATAATTTCAACATTATATTTCGACACAACGTTGATACAGACATTTGGGTAACAGACTCGCCGAAGATCGTTGAATCATGTATGGACGCATTCAGGACTGTGCTGATCATCCGAGATCGATTGACCCAATCCATCGTCCGTCGAATTCAAGTAATCGGACGGTTAGGATATGTTATACGTTGCGGATCGATAGATCGGACGATATTCCCATTGCTGAATTTTCCCTTCGATCCCCCTTCGATCCGCTTTGGTATAGCCCCTTCGTTTTGTAATCGACAATCCCTACGGAAACTCATCCTGAGGTGCATTTCGTAACTATGACAGCGTATCGTTGAACGTCATTGAACGGTCATCGCGCGCGTTTAATCTTTTTTTTTTTCTTGTCTCTTCAACTTTCTGTTACCGATTAGTTTTACTTAATTAATTATCCGCACTTCTCTCAAACCGTACACTGATTTCTATCGTTCTATCGCGAATTCGCGTCGACCCTTGTTAACTTTTCGGTCGTACGACAATTATCCTTGTCGCTCGATTCGCGAAAATAAATTTAGTAATCACTTACCTATGTCGGCGAGTATGTATTGAGTGCTTATCGACGGTATTGTTATTCATTATGTTCAAATACACTTGTCTCGATATGTTTTAGAGTACTCGCGGGGAATCATTACACCAAGTATAATGTTAACACTTAAATACAAGATTCTGATTCTTTATTCGTAGATAACGCAAATCATTTTGATGGAGAGAAAAAAAAAAGAGATTGTTTAACTCAACTCACGGAGACACACGAATTAGGAATTTCAAAGAAAATTCATCAAGATCTAAATGGTGTAGTATTGCATAAGATATGAATCTCAAGAAAAGAAATAGGATGCTTGACATTTTTTTTTTATATTTATACGTAAAAAAAAATGTCGATTGCGTATGTTGATGTTGGATCATTCTCGACTTTCGTAAGAAGATAACGCAATCGACATTTAATATAACCCACAATCAGTTTGATACGAAGGTAGAAGGCGAACCTCGTCTTCTTCAGTTTTCAATTCTTTGGCGAAACACTCTTCCTTTTTCTTTTTTATTAATGTAGTTAGTATCGTAGAGCATATATTAGCTATTAGCCGATTTTAGCGATCGTGTAAGACTTTCCTTTTTGCTCTGTATCTCGTTTCTCTCAATAGTTACAGCCTGATGCAACTTTTGTTCTTTTTCTTCTCTTTTTCATTTGTGTCGCTGCGCTTCAAAGAAAAAAAATGTGTTGCTGCTTACATTTTTGAATTCCGACAGAATTCCATCGTTCTCCCTAATTACCAACGATGAGAACAATCGTCATCACCATCGTCATTATCCTCATCACCATCACCATCTTCCGATTCCCCCGATTACCGCGCAGCCGTTTTAGGTCGCGTTGGCTTTTCACTCAAAAAAAAATAAAATAGATAAATAAAACATAGTATTAATAATATATTTTGTTGGACGGATCGCCAACCGCGCGGAAGTCTACAAATCTTCGCCGGCTCCGTACATGTTTGGTATTATTATATATTTTTTATTAATATTATTGTATTATTACTATTCAATTATTATTAACGTGTTGCGACTTTCGATTGCCGAGATACGAGATGTTCATTCAACATCCTCCAAATAGTATGAAGATGAAAAGGCTAGCTGGCATATTCTAACGACTTTTAATTATGTTCGCGAGGATTCGTGGATTGTCTCAGGATCTTTGACCATCGATTATTACCTCGCTTCCAGAAGATGAAAATTAGCTCAATTCCAGAAGTTTCGAAAAATTCTCAAGTTAATCTAAACTTTTCGGATTATCGCGCTTAATCATTTACGGAAAAAAGTTATTACGACTGTTGAAGGCTTTTACGATATACACAGAGACATAATGGAATTATTTTAAAGATTGGTTTCTCTAAACTCGACTTGGATATTGTTTCAACTTGGTGACAAATTTTTAAATAAAATAATGAATTAGAGCAATCGCCGGTAATGGCAGTTGGCCTTCCGTGATCGATTGAACGAGCGATAATTAAATTTCAATATTTCTGTGTCTTCTGTGAAGAGTTTTGTTGTATCGATCGAAAATCCTGAGATAATCCGCGATCATCGCTATCGTGGTGATCGCTTGATTTGGTAGTCGAATCAATTGTACGTTTAATTTAGCAATGAGCTGACATTGCAAAATTGAATTGAAGATTCGTGGGATTCGATTAAGAACTTTGATCCGGTGATTTTTAAACCTCCGATCTTCGCTTCACTGCGAATTTATATTGCTCGAGAACTACAACGTGTGATCTAAGCCTTTTGTACCTGCTGTTTTTTTTTTACGATTATAAAATGATTTTCATTAATAGAAAGAGAGAGATATATAATTGCGTTATATAATTAAAAGTTACATGAGCGTTGCGAATCTCATAATTGATGTTTATAAATTCAGTAGCTATTTAAAAGATACGAATTATATATGCATATATATATATATATATATATATATATATATAATAAATAGTATAGAACCTAAA